CGTACGCTTTCACATCCATTGTTTTCAATAAGCAATGACAGCTAAAAAATCAGTTTGTCTTCTTTTTTTTATTTTTCATAACATCTGTTGAGTGAAGAGCGTATAATATAAAACAAGCAAAAGACACAATTGATTGATCTCTTACTCACTTGACAGAATTGTGAGGATGTGTTAGTGACATGTAAAATTGTGTAAATGTGTTGGAGTTTCGGTCACGCAGGTTTTTTTCTGGGACATACATGCATTACTACCTATGTAAATCTTTAATTGATGTAGGTTTGATAAGATATATTATATATGTATATACATACGTATTTATTTACAGATCTTTAAAAGTTTTGGTAACATGTTAAAAGACGAAGCGGTCGCACATATTCACGTATGTAATTACATATGTGTGCGTGTAAACAAAACGAACCATACGCATAATGTTTGTAAATTTGTCTACGCACAACTTTGTATGTAAATGTGTACACTTATTGCTTCATGCGAAATCTTCGTTTCACGGGCAAAGAATGGCTGAAGCTCAAGTTTTTTCAAAGAGTCAATGTGTCGAAGGGCTGACTTGAGAACAAAGCATCACAACATTGTGTTGTTGGTAGAAAATCTGGCCATGCCGAAAACACAAACGAACGATCGCCAATTGCCACTGCTTCCCTTGCCGCTGTAGCAGCTTCAAGAACAAACCAGTGTAAATATGTATGTTTCTGTATGAGCTTGCATACATATCGACGCCGAATTTTGCAAGCCGCGTACAAATATATTTTACATTCATKGACAAAAACAGTCCATCCCAGTAATGTGCCACAATCAAAGATACAGATTTTTGTGATTTGTTAAAAAAAAATATCATATGACACATAAGCGAGTGCGGATACTTAAGCGATTGGTACTTAAAACAACAATTTCTATGTAKKTCMAAAAAGAACCGTGCGATGCAGCAAGATATGGGCAGTTAAGAGGAATGATTTTCATTTAAGTGGAATACTACTTAACCGGGATTCACTGTACACATAAATCAGAGGAATATTRARTATTTTCTTTGGCACATTTCTTGACTTGAAAATCGACAAATAAACTATGTTTTCAATTTTATTCTATACTTATATTTGCGGGGTTGTCGCTTTTTCCTTCTAATACAAATATCAGAAATTTTTCAATTTATGATTTTTAGCTTTTGCCATCGTCGCGGAAAGCCGCTTGTAGGCAAATGCATGCTCGGGTAGACGTAATGGTGTTTGTTTTTATGAATGAAGCAAGTTTGCCTGTTGAAAGTGCGCTTGCGTTCATGAATGAAAATATTGTTGTTAAGTGATTTTCTACAAATTTGGGCATCGACTTGGCTGCCATATTGACTTGTGACGCTGCTGCTTGCTATTTGAAACCATTATTGTTTTTGTAGAACAATATTCATAGTTTTTGCGGGTGACATATCTACATATAAACGCATATAAGTATGTATGTCGTGTATGCATTATTTGTGAGGGAATGTCATGCGCACATATTTATGTACATGTGTACTCATATATTTGTATGTTGGTTTGTGTATACATTATTTTTTCGGCAATGTCGTACACATATGCATGTACACATAGAGCAGTGCGTGCACATTTTTTACTGATAAATGATAATATTACGATTTAAATTTGAATTGTATTTCCATAGGTTGTTTTTGTTTTTTTATAGTAGGAGGAAGCATCGAAAGCCTGAGTGCCGGACTTTAATCCGCTAAACCTAACCTACTCCCAACGCAAGACTCTCCCACGGAACCACCAGACAAGGTATTACTTCATGGGAGTGACAAGACATTTTACGTCTCCTCTATATCATAGACAGACTGATGCCTATTCTGTTGTATCTGTCTTAATATTGTCATGATAGAAGTTGCCGCATCGCGAACAGCTTTCCACTTCTCAGAGGACTGACACATAAGCGTAGTCAAACTTGCCACCGTTCAACTACCACCTAGTGCTGTTTCTAACTTTTCCCTTATGTTTAGAAACCGAGGACATTGGAAGAACACGTGCTCAGAGTTTTCTATTGACTCCGTACACATCGGGCAATACGGACTGACGTCGTTTTGAAATTTATAAAGATAGCCTCTGAAGCACCCATGCCCGCTTAATATTTGGGTCAGGTGGAAATCTAGGTCMCCATGTTGTCTGCTTATCCACGTATGGATGTCAGGTATAAGTCTGTGGGTCCACCGTCCTTTAGTTGAGGTTTGCCACCGTTGCTGCCATATAGTTATGCTCTTTTTTCTCTCTTCTCTTTTTTGGATTTCTGTGATTGGCACTGATAGCTCATATAATCTCGTGAGCTCGTCACACTGGATGTCTATGGGCGGCATACTAGCTAGTACTTCAGATGCTTCGCTGGAATTAGTTCGGAAAGCATTTGTTACTCTTATTGCTGTGAGTCTATGAACTGCACTTATTGGTTTGGCATATGCTTTTATGTTTAATGCCTGTATCCATACTGGTTTTGCATATAGTAGAACTGAGCTCATAACTTTTGCGATTAGAATTCGGCGGCTGGAGCGCACACAGCCACTATTTGCCATCATTCTTGATAAAGCGTTATACATCTTATTAGGCTGTGGAATTCTTAGCACCCCGTCATAGACTAGATTCCATAAGAGAGGGCCTAAAACAGATCCTTGTGGTACTCCACTTGTAATAGGGTAGCTCTTGATGCCTTCGGTGGTGTCGTAGATCAGCTTTCTATTTTTAAAATAGCTCATAACGATATTTATGAGGTACTGAGGTTCGCGTATTGCATATAGGAATTCGAATATATTTTCCCGCTTAGCAGAGTTGAAAGCATTCTTCACATCCAGGGTGATCAGCGCACAATATTTTTTAGTACCACCTTTCCATCTTTTGCCACTTACTGCTCTTTTC